TGAAGTATTTAGATAATACTTTTCTGATGAAGGTTTCCTTCTGTCAACTTTTTGAAGATCGCTGCGATATAAACAACTCTTTACTGTGGATCTATGGACAACTCTTCAGTATCAGCTAACCTTTTCAACAAGCTATTTGTGTTGATCTTTTGAATATCTGGGAAATTGGGGTACAGTTCTAGGGAATAATTTTTTTCTTGGCTTCCAAGCTAATGTTGGGTATTTCAGCAAGATAATAGTTCTTAATACCTTCAACTTTGGTATCAGGTACTTAGAGGAAAGAAAAAAAGGTTTTTGAATGTATAATAAATTGTTCTAAAAATTGGTCTGCAGCTCATTCTACTATACATATACAGTATTTTAGGACAGTGAGATCCCGAGGCATCTTGTTGTGAAAGTAATCATCTCAGAAAAACATTTCTGCATTGAGTATTGGGGAAGAGACTGGCATCTATCTCCAAGGAGATCAGAACTGCCAGCTGCTAATCTATGATTCAGAATATCAATGGACTGAATCCCAAACATCAGCATTCCATGCATTTCAAAGATAACATCTGTTTTAGTTACAGTAAAGCAGCTACTGGAAGCCTTTAACAAAATAATATAAAATCAGAATAATTTATTTAGATTGTCATCGTTTAAGTAACCTACTCATGAAGGGTTTTCTGTCTTCTATTTTATATTGTATTGTATAATATGTATTTTTTCTCCTGAATATTTAAAACTGACAGTATTTAAAATACATTTCTAGTATGTATACATATGTATACAGAACTCATAGTTAATTATTACATTAATCCAGGGGTGTCAAACTGCTGACCGATGGGCCGGATGCATCATAGCGAAACTGCGCCCATCCCATTGCTAGCAATGGCAAAAAAGTCATGATACATTGCAACACATCACATGACGTTGCGAGTTTGATACCCCTGCATTAATCCATTCTAAAATCTGCCAATAGAAGTATCTCTAATTTCTTGCTATGGATGAAAGAGATTATATCTCCCTCAATTCACCAAACCACATACATTCTGCAAAGGTAAAACTTGTTTACCTTTTAAACATCATGCCAGGTACTATAAGAGAAAAAAATAAGTTTTCTATCTATTTTACTGACTCTACTATGGATCTTACAGTTCAGAAATCATGTTGTTTCGCTATCTTAGTTAGTAACTGGAATAGTATTAAATACAATATAAGCAACTGAAACTTTCAGAGCAATAAATTATAAAAATTAATCAATACTCCACTATCAATACTAAGGCAAATTCAAAGAACATTTCTCCAGGTGAGGCATTAGCTGCAATGAAATTACATTATTTTAGCACTCAAAAAGCTGCAATTTAAGGATAATAGTAATAGGAGGTTTCTACACTTATTCCCAAGCAGCAAATGTATACTGCATTGCAATAGGTGGCTAAATGGACAACTGTTTAAATCATATCATCTACTGTCCTAGAATTCCTCTGAATATTACTTTATAAATTGTATTACAACAATTTTTAATTTCAGCTGTAAATCATTTACGTGATGCAGCCTTTTAATTCAAAAGCATTTAGTAACAAATACTACATTTATATATCTCTTATTGAATTTTTCTATGAAGATCATATATATTAAAATATTCTTTTTTAAATCAGAAATTGTTAGTGTGTTGGCAACAGAAAGATTACTTATAGATAGTCCTTGACTTACAACAGTTCATTTAGTGATCATTCAAAATTACAACAGCACTGCAAAAAGCAACTTATGACCATTTATCACACTAATGACTGTTGCAGCATCTCCAATGTCACATGATAAAAATTCAGATGCTTGGCATCAGACTGATATTTATGACAATTGCAAGGTCCAGCAGTCATGTGATCAACCTTTGTGACCATCAGTCAAGCAAAATCAATGGGGAAGCCAGATTCACTTAATAACCATGTGACTAACGTAAAACTTCAGTGATTCACTTAACAATTATGGCAAGCAAGGTTGTAAAATGGGACAAAATTAATTTCATAAATGTCTCATTAATCAAAAAAGATTTTGGGCTCAATTGTAGTCATAAGTCAAGAACTGCATTTGACATCGTGTCTCACTGAGCAATCATAGTATGACACAACTTTAAATCTTTAAAAAAAACTAAGCATGTGGCACAGTTTCTCAAAAAACCAAATACCAATATTCATAGATCTTCAAATTATGAACACAACATTTATACCCATTTAAGAAAAGGTTCATCTTCCAATAATCTTTTTTCTATTCAAATAAATGTTTTGCCTTATTCTGCAAGAACCAAACTGAAACATTTGCATGAGGGACTTTTACTTTTTTGACTTCTACATTTGTAAAAATATGAAAGCTCATGGAAGTGCAAATGATCATTTAAAAATACTTATTTTACCAATATAAGCTAGACAATACAGAATAACAGAGTTGGAAGGGAACTTGGAGGTCTTCTAATCCAAACCCCTGCTCAAGCAGGAAATCCTATACCATTTCAGACAAATGGTTGTTCAATCTCTTCTTTAAAACTTTCACTATTGGAGCACCCACAACCTCTGGAGGCAAGTCATTCCACTGATTAAAAATGCTAAGTACTTGAAAATATTGCTATATGATCTACTATATGCTGTAAAACTTGTCATGGCTTTTAATTGAGCAAAACACTGCATCATAGGGCAACATTTTTGAACCAAGGAATGTATCCAAAATCTAAAAATCCATGGAGGAATGAGATTTGGGGAAGTTGTGGTTGCTTGAGGACTACTGCTATGCTGCCAGGCTTGACTGCAATTCCACAACTGTAATTTATTTATAATCTTTCTTTTCATATTGACTGTTTTTATTTATTTGGTTTTACTATTTGCAAAACATGTAGTGTTTGTTACCAGCTAACTCTATTTAAAAAAGAAATTTTTGGAAGTTCAGCAAAAACATATTGGTTATTTTTTTCATGAGCTATGGAAAGGATGGAAGGATTCCGACCAAAAAATCTGCTTCTGTCATGAGGAGAAAAGCATTTTTCAATCCTGTGGAAGGAAAGCCTTGCGGTGACCAGTAGGAGCTAAAGAACATTGCACCACACCTGGGCTCCAATTATAAAAGGAAAAGCTGTGAGGTCCAGAGTGTGAGTGTGTAAGTGCATTTGGAGAAACATTTATTTTGTGTGGGAAGAGAAAGAATGAATTTTAGCTGAGGGAGTGGAGTCATCAGCTCCAATGGGGTAACTGATGATAGGAGGAGCAAGCTTTGGACTTCAGAAACCAGCAGCAGACAAGTTGAAAGGAGAAGCACAGCCCAGAAGCTTCACTGCTCCAGCAGAAATGCTGTGAAAAGCTTTAGCCAGCTGGTAAAGTGCCTTCTTTTTCTCATTGCCAGCATAGACTGAGAAACTGCCAAGTCAACCTTTCAGCAACCTTGTGCAGCTGACAGCACAAGTAGCCAAACTGAAGGTGGTTAAATGGTGGCTGGAGATTTTGACTTAAGCTCAAGCAATAAAAGACAATAGAATTGTTATAAGATGTTTAGGAGTAAGTTATAGACAATATAAATATAGGATAATATATCAAAGATCAGTCAAATATGTCAAGGTAGAAATTAGGAAAATAAGTTTGTTAAATTTTATATAATAAAACCTATTTGTTGCTCTATATTCCATTTCTCAAAAGAATTTGTTTAGAATAGAATAGAATAGAATAGAATAGAATAGAATAGAATAGAATAGAATAGAATAGAATAGAATAGAATAGAATAGAATAGAACAGAACCTTAGAGGTGTTCTAGTCCAGCCCCCTGCTCAAGCAGGAGAACCTATAACATTTCAACAGGTGACTGTCTAGTCTCTTCTTAAAAATCTCCAGTGATGGAGCGCCCACGATTTCTGGAGGCAAGCTGTTCCACTGGTTAATTGTCCTCACTGTCAGGAAGTTTCTCCTTAATTCACGGTTGCTTCTCTCTCTGATCAGTTTCCAACCATTGTTTCTCGTCCTTCCCTCTGGTGCTCTGGTGAATAACATGACCCCCTCTTCTTTGTGGCAGAGTAATGGGCAGAAACAGTAGCTGGCCTGTAAAATCTGCCAATCTGCATTCAGGAACAAATCAAGCACCATCACACTTGAATACACATATTTCACACAGTATCATCTGGTCTCTAGATGCTTTCTGGTTCAATTCTAGTGTTAAGCTATGAACCCTGCTGCCTTTAGGGCTGCTGTGTGCTTTTAGCTTGCCAACAGAGCGGGGAGGGACACAGGGAGAAATTTGGATTCATAGGTGTTCTTATCATCGTGAGAAAGCGGGAACTGTGGAAAAGTTGTTTTGGCAAACCAAAGTTTCTTCTCATAACAATTACTGGGAGATGTATTGGACAATATGACCTGAACTGTCTTAGAGGAGAGAAGATTCATTCTTTTAATTACTTTCTTCCCGCCTTTTCTTCAGAGCTAGCTTTCACTTTGATCCTACCAAAGTGATTATGCTCAATAAAAATTACATTAGAGGACTTAATGGCTCTGGTGTTTTTCTTAGCTGGGCTTTTCAGCTGGAGGTTGACATCTAGCTTGAAAAATACGACAATTAGATACTGTGCCAATCCATTTATACTGTCACCAAATTTTCAGATTTATTTTGGCCTGATTGGAAGATTTTTCTTACTGTTATCTTTGAAAACAATGATTCAAGCATTTTGAGGCCATATAAAATATGCTATATTTTAAATTTTGTATCTGAACATTAAAATATACATTTCCTCTGGCATTCTTTTAATTTGATCATTTAGTGTTTATTCTTTTAAAAAATCGACACTTATGTGCCAGTTATTACACTACAGTACTGTTAAATTAGTGCAAAGTGACTGTGAAACAGTATTGCTGGCCTCATCTTACATCAAAAAGCAATGCAAAGTGCAGAACCCATGAATGATACTCAGCATATTTACAAGAATTGTTTTTCTTAATATTTATGGAATAAATACACATTTACATAAGCTATAAGTAGGGGAAAAAACTCACCCAAAACAAGTAGCTCCACTGATTCCTCATTCTTGCCTTCTACATCATCAGGTGTGATGACGAGACAGTAATACAATCCACTGTCTCCCCACATCAATTTTCCAATATGGAGGTCTGCATCTAACAGAAAATATAAAACAAGCAGGAATCAGAGAGACAGGGAGACCTAAAATCTAGATTTTATTAACAATATTATTTTTTCTTATCTGGAATAATGAAATTTAATTCATTAAAAATACTACATGAAAAATCAAGAACTCTTCAGAGAACAAAAGAATTAAGTTTTTTGAAATGGGCATTGTCACACAATTTTTTTTAACTGTTTTACTTCACAAGAACCTTTAGGCCAGGGTGTCAAACTCGCAATGTCACGTGACATGTCGTGATGTATCACAACTTTTTTTCCATTACCAGCAATGGGGTGGGCACAGTTTTGCCATGATGCATCCAGCCCGACAGTTTGACACCTCTGCTTAGACTGATATCATTATTGAATAGTCATTTCAAATTGTTGACAACCATTTTAGCAAGAAATTATTAATGAGGATCAATGTGGGGTTTTACCTAACAGAAAAAGTAAATGACATTGTCAGAAATGTTTTGAAGATATTGGAATATTTGAAGCAATATAATGAAAAACAAGCAACATTGATTTTCTTATATACAGAGAAGGCCCTTGACAATTTGAGTTGGGCTTTCTTATTCAAGATTTTGGAAGATAATGAATTTTGGAGAGAACTTTATAAAATAAGATCAATCAATTTCTTTTGTATGAGGAGGTCCATTGTAACTTCAAACAGTTACTAAGCAACCAATCACTAACTGAGGACTACCATGCAGAAAAAATAGCTTGTACCCACTGAGTAAGAAGTAATTGATAATTGTACTTATAACTGTTAATACTTTGTATCTTTTTTCTTTTCTATTTTTCTTTTACCTTTTATCCCTTTCTCATGCTATTAGCTTTGTCTTTGATTTCTTACACTGTGTTAAGAGACAAGAATCATTTAGTAGATGTAATTCAGTGGCCATATTTACAGCTACTGTATGACATTTGTTAACAACATTCTCTGTACCCGTAGCATTTTCAGCTTCTGAGACATCAAAACTAAGACTACAATTGAGCCCAGAATTTATGTTGCTAAGTGAGAAATTTATTAAGTGAGTTTTGCCCCATTTTACAACTTTTCTTGACCCATTTGTTAAGTGAATCACTGCAATTAAATTATTAACACAGTTGTTAAATGAATCTGGCTTCCCCATTGACTTTGCTTGTCAGAAGATCGCAACATATGGTCACATGAGCCCGGACACTGCAACTGTCATAAATATGAAGCAGTTGTCAAGCATTTGAATGTAAATCATGTGATCATGAGGATGCTACAATGGTCATAAGTGTTAAAAATAGTTATAAGTCACTTTTTTTAGTGCCACTGTAACTTTGAACACTAAACGAACTGTTGTAAGTCAAGGACTACATGTATAAAAAGAAATCTTGTGAATTTCAGATCAAAATGAGAGATTGCAGGGGAAAATAAGAAATAATTTTCCAATGGAAATTTGAATTAGACGATCAAGATCTGATGCTTTTCAATACTGTGTTGAAAAAAAATGTTATTCAAAGTGATTACAGGCTCATCCAGTGGAGGTCTGCTAAATATTACAAGACTAGAATTTTCCAACCCTAAATCTCACACTGAAAATAATTTCACAGTCAGAACAGCCTGTTTCAGGGTGGGACACTTTTGATAAGATTGGAACAGCTTGTTTCAATATAGAAATACTTTGCTGAGATTAAATGAAACATTTCCTGAGAGAGAGTCTCTCTCCTCTCCCTCTACGTGTGTGTGTGTGTGTGTGTGTGTGTGTGTGTGTGTGTGTGTACTTGTGTGTCTTTGCAGGGTGAAGACATTTCAACTTTTAACACACAAAGGGTTGTGCTATAAAACATGAAATTACAGAATAAGAGCATTACTGTACTATTATCAGATCAGGAAACAAAGTGACTCAATTTAAAACATTTTATAAACCTAAGAAAGGACAATTATTGGCAACAATCATACCTCTTCAGAAAGCATTCAATGCCTGAGCAGTACCCAAACAAGCTGATTTCTTTCAGCATGCATAATGAAATCTTATACTGTAGTGTAGGATCTCCTCTGAAAATTTTAATGCAAGGAAGGACAGAATGAAGGGAAGTGTGTTTTCACTTTCATTTCCAAACCATTTAGAAATTTAAAGGAGAAAATCAGCAAAATCAATCAGGCCTAATAACAAAAAGGAAGCCAATAAATATTTAAGAATTATAAGAATGACTCTATCTAGATAAATTACACAAAATAGTGACTGAATTCTGCATGAGATGATGCTTTAAAGCAGTGATCCTCAACCTTTCTAATGCTGTGACCCCATAATACAGTTCCCCATGTTGTGGTGACCCCCAAGTGGGTATGGCCACCAATAAGAGGGAGTAGGATAGCTAGGGAAAAGGGAAAAAAATGGCAGACAGCATGGTTTGGCGACCCCCGTGAAATGGTCATTCGACCCCAAATGGGGTCCCGACCCACAGGTTGAGAACCACTGCTTTAAAGTTTAAACCACTTCCAAGACTATATAATTCCTATATAGCCAAAATTTATTAAAGGATGCCTATGGCAAAGTAATCCTTATCGTTCCCGGGAAAAGTTAAAGATAACAAGTATTTGGAACAACATAATCTCTTATGATAAATAACCCTCAAACTGCTCACTAGTTTATTGAAGGGAAAACTGAACTCTGATTTCTCACTTCAACAAATTGATCCTATTGTCTATCATTTATCTGCATTCATCCCATACAGATGCAATATGACTTAATTGTTTTTATTAAATAGATTCCGCAAACATTTGCAAATGTATTGCTTATTTGGAATGTCTTTAAAATTTATTGTATATATTACTGCTTTTACAACTCATGAAGAAGGAACCAAAAGTTAAACAAGAAAATCTGAAAAAAAATTAAAGAGCTTGTGGACACAAATGCAAGATATTCTATACCAGATTTATGTAAATCTTTGATGAGTGGTATATAGGAAATTATTTCCCCATAAGTACTTGAAACAAGAATCCAAGATATTGAGAATAAAGTTAGTGAGAATAAAATTGCAATAACATAAAATTATCTATATTAATAAGAATGTTCAGAGTAAAGTATACAATAATATAGACTCAATGAAACAACTTTTCATTTTTTTTTATTCTCAACTGCATGATACCAGATCAATTGTAATCAGGAAAGAAATTAGCTATTTTTATATAATTCTTCTCAATTATAATACCCACAATTCTGTCATGCTGTCCCCAAAGATTTGCTTAGTGTCTACTGTGTTTCCTTTTTATGAGTAAAATATCTTTTTTCATTTTATCATGTTTTTAAGAATTATTTACTTTTGATAATTGTTTCTACATGTCTTAGAATGTAATTATATTGCTATCATTTGCAACTGCCCTATTCATTTTAATGTTTTTTAAAATGTGTAGATACCTTTAAATGTGAACCTTACAGGGCATTAAGAAGAGTGCTATTAAATATTTATAATAAACTATAATTAAAACAGCATATTAAGCTCTAAAAATAAAATATATTTGTTATTATTTATTATTATTTATTCATTTGTATCTGCCTTTATTATTTTTTACAAATAATACAAGGGGGTGAACATATCCAACACATCTTTCTCCACCTGTTTTCCTCACAACAAGATGGATTGGACTGAGAGAGAGTGACTGCCCAGTCACCCAGTTTGTTTTCATGGCTAAAGCAGGACTCGAACTCATGAGCTTCTGCTTTCTAGTCTGTGCCTTAACTAGCTCTCATTTCATAAGCTACTGATTTCGTATGCTACTGATTTTATATGCAATTATTCATAATATACTGTACTATTGTACTATTCATAACATAATATACTATTACCTCGTTTTATATGCTACTATTCATAATAGCCAAAGAAAACTTCAGTCATAATAAAATGATAAGCAGGTTAAATTACCATGGAGAATGGAGATTTCTCTTCCTTTGTAGAACTCTCCAGTCGTGACCACCGAGCCCTGTTTGGATGCCACAATGCGGACTGTTCTCCTGCTATCCACACAGTCCAAGTACGGATCCCACTCCAAGTTCCTCTTGTTTATTGCCTGGATCCCTGCAGAGACAACTCCCAGAGCTTCTCCCATGCGATCTTGGCAGTAAGATTTAAATTTCCATTGCACCACGGCTGGTTGTGTGGAAGAAGTTGAAAAGCGGCATCGAAGCACAATTGGTTGAAAGAGCATTGCTACCTGTTTCTTGTCAGGCACCATAACATGCACTGCTTCAGTCACAGCTACAAAGCAAAACCATAAAGGTTACCAACTTGTAAGGTATAAATCATCTATTCAGTATGCCCATTCCCAAATGATAAATTGGCTACTTTCTAAGACTAATCATCTAGTTATGATATTAGAAGAAACTGTGCCAAAAGAACATGGATAGCAAAATAACAGAAAATGTTAATGCTAGAAAATGATAAGTTGCTGTTTTATCAACCATAAATAACAGTGACTTATCAAGTCATATCTATGAATTAGATTTTCAATTAACCATGACTTAACATTTAATTTGAAGCAAAATGTGGCTAATCTTAATTCTGAGTTACTTCAAACAAATCATCTTCAAATCATGAGTTGTAGCTGAATTACTTTTAAAAACTAAATTTCATACATTATGCGAGCTTAGTTTACCCATGCATTATAATGTCATTACATAGTGCACTGCTTAAGCATCATGCATTTTTCTCCCTGTGATTAAAGAAAAAACAGACAACATATGCTATATGTTATTGGTCATAGGTGAACAAAAAATAATATAAGAAAAGAAAAATTGGAAAAAAATTAAGCTTCATTAATTTTAAGCTACTTATCAACAATTGGTAGTCACAATGGCTAAATGTTATTTCAAATATTGAAGGCATAATGTTGGCCAGTTCCATAAAATATGAACAGGTGACACTTCTTGGCAACTATGTTGATATATTATTTTTTAATTTCCTGTAGCCATCTATTTAATCACTAACTCAATATCACAGTATTAAACGATGTTTGTATTACAAAACTCAAATTTCAAGCATTTATTTTCAGCTTTACATACATTTTATTTATTTCCAATCTTTCCTTTTCAAACTAATAAAGAAACCTTATAAGAAATATACAGATCACAGCATGGCATGGTATTAGTCACCGAAAGGGGAGGAGACATTTGAAAGATGCCATAGGCAGGTCGATAGAAAATCTGTCTTCCCATTGTGCTAAGATTCAAATAAACATTTGAAATAATACCAGGAAAATTTAGAAATTCAACTAAAAAGAAAGATACCAGCGTCAAGAGAATTCAAAATATGTCTCATTAGCACTTAAAAATAAATAGGTAACCTACATATATTGCAATTTGACTGAAATGAACTGCTGTTGTCAGTATTGCAATAAAAGCAAGGCCAAACAATTTTGGCTTACTCTAAGACATCTTGAATATTTTATAGGAAAAAAAATAAAAGTCATGTTAATAAATAAAATTCTGTTTGCAATCAAGAATATGTGGCTTATTTTACAGGAGATTTACACATAGTTATGGTCAGTGCTTTTTTTGTAAAAAAAAAAAAAAAAAGAGTGCCGGAATTCACACACGTCATACAACCCGCCTTGCCTACCCTACAAGGTTCCATCCGAAAAAGGTGCCGGAACTCCGTTCTGGGCATTCTATGACAAAAAAAGCCCTGGTTATGGTACTGTTCTTATTTCACATCTCTCTAAAGAACTGAGTCTTTTAATTGCAGAATTTCCTGAGGTGGCTAATACTTTACATAAAAAGATGAAAAAAAGCCTCAAAATGCAAAAAGTAAATAATCACAATTGAAAGAAACCGCAGTAGTGTTATCAAAAAAAGAACATGCGAGGTAGCAAACAGCTGCATCACACCGAAACTGGCCATTTGCCGCCTCCTGCCCAATGCCACTGCCATGAGGCTGTGGAACAAGTTGGGCAGCGGTAAGAAACCAGTATACCAGTTCCTTATCTCTGCCTGGCTTGTTCCGCAGCCTTATGGCAGTAGCATTGGGTGCAATGCACGAGGTGGCAAATGGCCGCAGCGGAGGCAAACAGCCACATTGCGATGAAACCGGCCATTTGCCGCCTTCTGCCCAGTGCCATGAAGTGCTCCTCTGGCTTCTGGGAATTGTGCTGGCGTCCTTTGTGCCAGGTATCCTTTGCAGTGACTTTCTGGAAAGATTTGCAACGGGGATGGGTGCGACGCGTGAGGCGGCAAGTGGCCGCAGTCAGAGGCAAACAGCCCTGTCACGCTGAAACCGGCCATTTGTCGCTTCCTATCCAGTGCCGCTGTCATGAGGCTGCGGAACAAGCCAGGCTTGTTCCACAGCCTCATGGCAGCTGCATTGGGTGTGACGCGCGAGGTGGCAAACAGCCACGTTGCGCCGAAACCAAGGGGCCAGCAGGCTGTGGCTGTTGATGGACACAATTGGCCCCCATGCACTCGCTGTCTGCAGAGGCTGATGGTGTCAGGCAGCAGCTGCCCCAATCCCTGCCTCGCCTTGCCTTGCCTTGTGGCAATGGCACCCATGCCCTGCCCCCTGATTCCTCACCCCACAGGACGAGCCTCCTGCCCACCATCCCATCTCCCTCAACCCTGCCTAGCCCCACAGGCATCCTTCCCCACAAGCAATATTGAGGTGGCCATGCCCACCACAGCCATGCCCACCCAGTCCGCAGTGACCACCACAGCCACACCCACCCAATGACCACACCCACCCAATGGCCACAGCCACCCAAGGGCCACAGCCACCTGGCTCCCGACGATACATAAGTAGGTTTTGGGTTGCAGTTTGGGCACTCAGTCTCTAAAAGGTTCGCCATCACTGGCCTAAAGGAATTTTATTTTATGGGAATTTTAGATAAGATTTCATTTATATTTTTTAAAAAATCTTGATTCTACAGTCATGATTCACCATAAGAGAACAATTCTCAAAAATGAAGAGACTAGAAAGAAAGAAACTGAAATTAAAACTCAATAGAGCAAAATCTCTCCACAGAGATTATTTAAAACCACACTAATGAGACTCAACTGAATTATTAAAAAGTGATCCAAGTTCAAGAATAGACCAGCAGCTTTCTCTAATGCTGTCTAAAAAACTATAAAAGTTAAATTTCTTTCAGGTGACTGAAAGCCTGAACTAATAAGAGGCATAAGCAAATGCACAAAAAATGTAAGGTAACAATAAGAAATAAAAACAAAAATTTGAGAAACATTATGACAAAAAAAACTTTAAGAGAATTAATAAGTGCAGTTTTAAATATATTCTAAGCAGGTAACTGCCCAACGAATCAACTTAAAACAACAATTTATTAGAAATTAAATGAAGTCTTTTTATTTCTTACGGAGATATAGGATACATTCCCAAACCATTACTAATTTTTTCTGGGACGAATCAACATATTTAAAGCAGGCTGAGATAATAAGTATATTCTGCGATAGCATAAGAAACCACGTAATAATTAATCATTTAACCACAATGGCAACTATCTTCTTTAAAGAACTGAACAGAGTTTTTCATCTCTGAACATAAATATGTAACTTATTCTTTGACTACTACATGGACAGAGGTGATTCTGTTGAAATTGTACTCTTGGACTTTCAAAGAGTTTCTGACTAAGTTCTTCATCAAAAACTCTGAGTAATCTTAGCCATCATGGGATAACAGGATCTGTCCTTTCATGAACTGTTAATTGGTTAAAAAAAAGCAAAGAGAAGAAAAAATAGGCAATTTTCTCAAAAGAAAGAAATGAAGAAATGAAATGAAATGAAATGAAGAAGCATTTATGTTGGGGCTAATTCTTTTTCATTTGTTTAGGAATTAGGAGTGAATTAGAAAGAAGAAGTGAAGCTAGTCAAGTTTGCAGTTAATACCAGATCATATAGTGATGAAAAACAAACACTGTGAAATGTTTTAAGCTGGGTAAATGGTCACCCAAGTGGCAAATGATTATCAATTTAAATAAATACAAAATGATACACAAGGAAGATGGAAAAGAAACAAACATCACATATACCAGATGGTCCGTGGACCAGTACCCATCTGTGGCATGCCAACAACTGGGCCGCACAAACAAGCAAAGCCGCATCCGTGGGATGCAGGCAACGAAAAACCTCTCTCCACAAAACCAGTCCCTGGTTGCCAAAAGCTTGGAGACCTCTGTTCTAAGCTGTCTATAACTAACAGGAAATAGACCTTAATGTCATAGTGGTCTAGGATGTCAACTCATCCGGAACTGTGAGAAAAGGCAAATCCATGCTATGGAATCATTAGGAATGAGACTGGAAATGAAATTGTCAGCATTATAATGTGTTTTTATTAAATCTATATTCATTTATATTTCCAGTACTGTGTTCAGTTCTAGTCCTTACATTTGAAAAGGGATATAGAAGAGCTAGGAAAATGGAAACTAAAGTCATCAAGGGCTCTAATAAGAAAAGACTTGAATATCTGGCACTATTTAGCACCAAAAAAGCACAAATGATCAGAGGTGATATAATTGAATTATACAAAATTGTGCATGGAGAAACTGAACTGGGATAATTTTCTCTTCTCTCAAATGACTAATACTAGCATTCCTCCCAAAGGTGCTTTTTTTCAGGAGGCAAATGGACTTTCTTTCTTTTTCTTTGAAGACATTTCACTTCTCATCCGAGAAGCTTCTTCAGCTCTGACCAGATGGTGGGGAGTTGAAGAACATGGTCAGAGCTGAAGAAGCTTCTCGGATGAGAAGCAAAATGTCTTCAAACAAAAACAAGAAAGTCCAGTTGTCTCCTGAATTAAAAAACACCTTTGGAACAACCATACCTGGATGACTGAAAATCTCCATACACACTAGCATTCCTTCAATGAAGGTGATTGAAAGGAGGTTTAAAATAGGTTTAAAATAGAAAAAACTAATTGTTTACTAAGATTATAACTACCCTGTGGAATCTTATGATTAACAACCCTCTCTTGAAGAACATCCAGAAACTACAGTTTATTCAGAATATGGCAACACAAGAAGTTATGACCATGCTTTAGTGCACCCATGTCACACTATTATTGCATGAATTGTACTGGCTGACACTGGGCTTCCAAGTACAATTAAAGTTGATGGTAGTTGTCTATGAAGTTCTTCATAGCATACTGTATGGTTATTTGTGGAATCATAGGTCTCAGTTGTTTCTACCTCCCATATACAACCTGGCATGGCTAACATGTATCAAGTCCCATCAATTAAATAATGCCTTCTCTGTCATAAA